TACATTGCAATTCTTTATTCCCATGCCCAGATCAGACACGTTTAGATCAGACTCATTGCAGCCCCTCAAACCCCACATTCTCTACCCGAAAGAGGAATGCAGCCTCCACCCAGTGAAGGTCTAAGTCCACTGAAGGGAGGCAGTAAGGAAAGGAGAGGCTGTGGATCTACCTCAGGTTCTCAGGAAGGACAGGATCCCTGTGGAGCAGCCAAGCTTTGGGATCTAATGACTGGAGGAACAGGGAGGGACTGCCAGATAAAAGGACATGGAGAACAAGTTCTAAATAAATGAAGTCACCATTAAAATGTGAGCAGGGCCGGGCGGTAGTGGCGGCACATGCAGAGGCAGGTGGATCTCTGTGAGTTCGAGGCCAGTCTGGTTTTTACAGAGCAAGTTCCAGGACAACCTCCAAAGCTACAGAAACCCTGTCTCGAAAAATCAATGAATAAATAAATTAATTAATTAATTAAAATGTGAGCAGAGGTGCAGAAAGCAAGAGGGCGTAATGCTTGTAAATAGTCCCTGGTTATGTGTATGTGCAAATAGTCACATATCAGAGATCCTGCATATCAGATATGTACATTACAATTCATAACAGTAGCACAGTTATAGTTATGAAGTAGCCATGAAAATAATGTTATGTTTGAGGGGGTCACCACAACATGAGGAACTGTGTTAAAGAGTCACGGCTTTAGGAATGTTGAGAAATCACCGATTTAGGCTCATGCTGAACCTCCAGAATCTCCTGTAGTTTCTATGAAGGTGTCCAATCAGGAAGCAGAGCTTATCAGCCATCACCTAGGGTTCATCTACTACTGGACCCTCAGTTAAGACAGGCGTAAGAAGATTTGAAACAATTAAAAAATAAGAATCTAAAGAATCACTCTTCTTATCCACAGTCAATCTTTAAACATAGGTTCCTAGTCATTTCTCTCCAAAGACTATTACCTCCAGTTCATTGTTTTAGATTAAACATGGTGGTTGATTAGAGTAAAGAAAGTTAATTAGAATAAAAAATATATTTGGCAAAAGAAATTAGGAACAGCTGGACCATGGTGGCACATGCCTTTAATCCCAGTACTTGAGAGGCAGAGGCAGGCAGTTTATCTGTGAGTTTGAGGTCAGCCTGGTCTACAGAGCGAGTTCCAGGACAGAGCTGTTACACAGAGAAACCCTGTCTCGAAAAGCCAAAAGAGAAAAAAGAAGAAATTAAGCAGTGTTCACACCAGATCATGATGTATTACTTACCAAAAGCACGGGAAGAAAATGAAAGCTAAACGCTGTATAGTGTTTGTCACCAAGCTGATCTGTGTGGGAACTGAGCATGGGCTGGATGGACGCTAACACTGACTCATCAACTAAGTGTCCTCGCTGGCATCAGAACAGCAACTAACAACCATACTTGAAAACCACTGCACATCTACACCCACACACTGAGACAAAAAGACACTTGTTCCTAATGGAGTGACACAGAGAACTCGGGTCACATACTTAAGTGGAGCATTTTGGCATACATTTTTATTGAAGGATTGTTTGCCATGGATGGGTGAGAACATGAAAGGAAAGTCGTAGTCACTTTATTTTAGGGTTTGGGACAGGACAGTGAAGATTGTGGGAAACTAGGAATATCGCTGTAGTAATTTTTAAAAATTGCTATCTGCAACATACTCTTTTCTATTGGTATTTGCTTTTAAATTTTAGTTTAACATACTTGTTAGCAACACAAGCTACAAATTTTATATCTAAAAATGGGTCAATCGTGCTTTTCTTATATTTTTGGTTGTGAGCCTAGCCTCTAACGGCTGAGCCATCTCTCCAGCCCCAATCATGCTTTTCTTAAAGGATTACTACATATGAACTTCAATGATTGATTTTTCTTTTACTCTCCTACACTAGTAGGATGCCATTAATATTATTGTTGTCTATTAAATACCATGTAAGCTCTTCATGTCATACAATTAGCAAAAGTCCAAGGAAAGTAAAGAACCCCAAGAATGCTGAGCAAAATGACACAATGTTCCTAAATAAGATATTCTAAATAAAATATGCATACACTGGTGATTAAACTTAATCATTTGAGTCAGGTGTAGCACCACACATCCGTAACCACAGTATTTAGAAGGCTGAGGCAGGGAGAATTTTAATTATTTGTTGCTTTATGCTATATATTTAGCAAGCAGAGATTCTTTAGTCAAATAAATTAGATGTTGGATTAAGTGGCTTTTTTTAAATGTCATAATGTATCATAACTATAAAATTTTAAAAGGATAAATGTAGCAGGCTATTTGTGTTATTTGTTTGTTTTTGAGTCAAGGTCTCGCTGTATAGCTCTGGGTAGCCTGAAATTCACTATGTAGACCAGGATAGCCTCTAACTAACAGAGGTCCACCTTTCTCTGCATCCCAAGTGCTGGGATTAAAAGGCATGCACCACTATGTTGGACAAAACTGGTTTTTCAAAGTTTCCATCTATGTACTATTTTTACACCAAATATAAGAAAGGATTTTTAAGTTGCTTCCTAAAATGTGGTCTTCCTTTCCTAGAATTAGTGCCACCAGAAGGATCTTTTAAAATTGGATCTGATTGTATATTTCTCAGTTTCTATAATCATTCATGCACTTATTTTTTGAGACAAGGGCTCTCACTCTATGGCCCAGGTTGATCTTCGATTCACTATACAGCCATATTGGTCTCAACTGGAGATATTTCTGCATTAGCTTCCAAAATGCTGGGATGATAGGCTTGCAACTACTCATAGCCAGTTTATATGCTTTAGTGACTCTTTCTGGAATTATGATTAAGCTCCTGTTAGGGAATAACATGACTTCCTCAGTGAAATAGAGAAGATATCTATCCCACCATTCCCACCATATCCAGGTCTTTTTTTTTTTTTTTTTTTTTTTTGGTTTTTCGAGACAGGGTTTCTCTGTATTGTTTTGGAGGCTATCCTGGAACTCACTCTGTAAACCAGGCTGGCCTCGAACTCACAGAGATCCGCCTGCCTCTGCTTCCCAAGTGCTGGGATTAAAGGTGTGCACCACCAACGCCTGGCACCATATCAAGGTCTTGATGCTCCCCAAATGGGAGTTGAAATCATCTTCTTACAGTTACACACCTGACAGATATAAGCTCATGTTCATTGATGGGGGAGGAATGTTCTGAAAGGTATATGTGAGGTCCTAGTGGTCTTTGCTATGGGCTTCCATAGATAGATTACCTGTGGAGATTCCTTTGTTTAATTTTTACACCATACTTGAGGAAATTTGTAGAAGATTCATTTTCTTCTTAAACGTGTGTGTGTGTGTGTGTGTGTGTGTGTGTGTGTGTGTGTGTGTGTGTGTGTGTAAAATGTCTCTAAGTGGGAACAATGATTCGGACAGACAAGTCTTTTTTCCTATTTCTGGCAGTATCTAGGAAGACAGTGGAAAGTTTATAACCCAGAAGTCCAGCTCCCACTGTATCCTAGTCCGCATCATCTCATGCTGAAAACCAGTACCAACCACATGCTACAGCCTTGGCATTCTCTCAACATGGGTCAGCAGGCAATGCCCAAGAGCTGGCAAAGACCCTCTCATAGGATGTAAGAGGTCCCGAACAGGAGAGGATGTAAAGAAGAATCCACACTGCAGACAGACAGCAGCTTTAAAAGTGAAACAGAGAAGCAAACGACCACAGCATTAAAAAAAAAAAAAAAAAGGCACTGCTAGAAAAACCCACATAAAGTTTTAAACAAAAAGGTAAAAATTCAAATAATGCATTAGTGGGAATGTTAACTAGTTAATTAGGGAAGTTGATACATAAATATTCAATACATCAAATACAGAGTTGTTGGTTTTTTTTTTTTTCAGGAACAATAGCTCAAACAAATGAAGAAAAGTTTAAAACAAAAGAGATAATAAGATCAAACCAGAAATCTCATTGTCTACAACACTGTGTAAGACTATCAAGAATGGAAGATAGATGCAATATCTTTGATAAAAACTAAATAGTTCCTAGAATCAAAAATACAACTAAGGCTGACAAGGACCTAGAAAATATCAAGCAGGATAATAAGGGAATTACCCATGTATGCATACAAGGGAATTACACATATATGCATACACAAATATCTGTCCATAGAAGAACAGTGAAATACCAAAATTATTAAAGGGAAGAGAAACCATAAAATGGAAAGAGATAAATATAATTCTCTGACTCCTTTTTAAACCAATAAGGATTAAATGGAATTATACCTCTGATTGTTTCATTTTGTTAAGAGTCTTGCCACGCTACTCAGGCAGTCTTGAACTTCAGGGCTCGAGGTCTTCTACCTCGGGCTCTTTGGAGCTAGTGTTACATACATGAACCATTGTGCCTCATTGCAGTCAATAAATACTAAAAATTAAAATTGATAATAAAAAAACAGTAGAGGGAAGGTGGACATATGTAGGTGCAGATGTAGAAAAAATTGTGGGATAACCATCCAGCTGCTCATGTGGGATCAGGTACTAAATGACCCGGTATCTGCTCCTCCATAGCCTAAGTACTCTTTATATATATTTTCACTTCAAATATTGTCTTCCCCACTTACAGTCATGCAACAGACTGACATACGTTTTTCCTGGCACTTGTAATATTTTACTGTGTTGTTTACAAGCCAACCTAGCCAAGGCTGTAGAAATGAAGGCCCAACTACAACACAACTACTTAGTATTTGTTGAGCAGACAGATATAAGGCAATTTTACATACTTCAAATGTAAGTCTGATTGCATATGAGCAAGCTATGAATTATAGTAAATTATTTTTTTAAAAAAGGGCCAGGCTTGATCATGTGTATTACTACTGCATTTCTGACAAAATGATTACTGTATCTTTTCGTTAAATTTAGAAATCAAAGGAAACCAAGATGTAAGGGGATGGGCCATTAGACGGTACTAAGAGACCTTCCATCTCCAAAGTCCAAAGTTCCTTAGGAAATTACTTTTCAGAACGCTTTGTCCCATTGTCCCTGGGCTCATACCTGCAGCAGCTCGATGTCTTCATGGTTTTCAGACCCAGGAGTGTTCTCCATCAATATGGCAGTCATCACTTTCACATTCATCTTCACCATATCCAATTCGCTATGCAGTTTCCCAATCTGCGGAAATCAACGGAACCCCCAGTCATTAAGTGAGACACACGGACAGTTGGCTACCTTGCTTCCTTCCCACGGGACAAATGCTGGGGATCAAATGCCTTTGCAAAATGTAACGTTTTCAGACATACAGAGATGTGCCTCAGCATATGTATAATTATTTTACAAATTATACCCTGTTGTTTACTGAATGGACTTGGCATTTCTTATAAGAAATCCACAGATATGCCTCAGGAAAATTACAGAGGAAGAAACAAAATGATCTGGACCAATATGGATACAGCAGGAAATACTTAGTAACAGTAGTTAATAGGAACCTGGAAAAACAGAGAAGTGCCATCATACATTATCCTGAGTTTCTGGCAAGCAATCAGAAAAGGAGAGGAGAGAAAAGGAGAAGAGAAAAGAAAAGAGAAAGGAGGCACGATTCTAGCTAGAGTTATGATATTATAGGAGGAAAGACAAAAGGGAAACATTTCTTTAAAAAGGTTTAAATTATAAGAGGAAGCAATCATGTAGCTTTCTAATATAAGAAACACTGAATAATACTAATATGAAGCCTTCAAACTAATTCAAAGATAGTTTTATAATATGAAGATATTAATTAGCATCATAAATTAATTATACTTATCCAGATCTCTTATAAACAGAGACTAAGGAGGAAGTGTAACTCATTTGGTACAATTAACATAGGTAATAAGACAACTGGCTACTGGGCTCTCTTAAATGAAAGGAAACAAGCATCAGTGGGTGGACCTCAGATCTCACCCACAGCCTAGACTGATCAACATTCTTTTTCATCAAAACATTATGAATTAATTAATTAATTAATCTATTTACTTACTTGGGGTGTGTGTGTGTGTGTGTGTGTGTGTGTGTGTGTGTGTGTGTATGTAAATTGGAGTACCCTTTTGGGAGCTGCCTCTTTCCCTCCACCATGTGTGGTCTAGGCATTCAATTTAAGTCACCAGGCTTGGTGGGAGGCAACTTTACCTGCCAAGCAATCTCATTGGCCCCAATCACAATTTTTAAATGTGTGAGCACTGTATTCAGACAAGACTCAATGGGCTAATTCTGCACAGAAACAAATCATGGTGACACAGTTTCCCTAAGTGACCGTCTCTCCTCCCACAGTAAAAGAAGGGGGATACATATGCATGCAGTCTATACCTGTCACCCCAACATGTGAGAGGCAAAGGCAAGGGGGTTATCAGGAGTTGTAGATCATCCTGGGCTACATGGTGAGTTCCAGGCCAGAAGAAGCTATATAGCAGATACCTCATCTCAGAAAGCAACGTAAAGATGTTACTTAATTGAGGGTTACATTACATTACATTTACACTTCATAATGCTATTAAGAAAACTCAAACTGTAAGTACAATGCTTGAAAAAGACACGAATAAGTACAGTTGTCAGTGTTGTTACCTGTTCTGGAACTAATGAGATAGTTGGGTTCTTGGGAGCAATTATAGAGGAAAGAGCGGGTGCAGTAGGGACAGGTGTTGGTCTATTTGGTGAGAGCTGAGTAACCTATCGATATAAAATAAGGAAATATTATTACATGTATTAACAAAGCCACCTCAAGCCCGACCAGCAGTCAGCTGATTCTGGCACTCTCAGAAAACGTTCCAGGTAGTTGGTGTTAGCTCAAAGTTGATCATCGGGCACGACTCGTCCAATATTGGAGAAGAACTCTAAGCAAATGGCATGCTGTGGCACGGGAGGTGTTCATAAATTAGGCTAGTTAATGAAATGACTAACCAGTAAAGTCCTCTTGGTTTTCATCAAGGTATTGTATGATGAACTGCCATGTGAAGTTAGGGTTGTCTCTTTTCTGGGTTATTAAAAATGACAAACCAACTCATGGGAAGTCTTTTAATCTCCACAGCTGGTAAGGCTTCCCCTCCATCAGTGAATAGCTCTCTGGTAAGGCTTCTCCTCCATCAATGTATAGCTCCCTGGGTCAGGCCCTGCCGCACCCACTGCGCAGCCTGTATCCGAGAATACGGCGAGGGTACAGAGAAGGCTCCTCAAGAAGGCTCTCTCAAGGAGGCTCTCCTTTATTCCTACTCTGGCTGGTTATTATATACCCTGACACCAGAGGCGGTGGTGGGTGGGCTAGAAAGAGGTGGTTAGTCTTTGGAAAAGGTCGAGGTCAGGGCGTTCCCATGGGCGAGCCCTTTTCAGGAACTTATTGCCCCGGGCACTGTATTGTTTTTAGTAAACATGTTTTTAGTAAACATTGTCTTATAGCTGCCTACTCCCAGGCTGATGGGGAAGTGGGTCTCTGGCCAAGGTCTGGTGTCCCCACAAGGCCCGATCTGCCAACATGAGTGGATAGCCACAGCAGCAGATCATGAATATGATTTTCTATGTCAATGCTTCTCAATATCAGTGTGCATAGAAACACCCAGAACCTTTTCAGAAGGAAGATTCCAGCATGGTATAACACACTCTGGACAACAAACTAAGTCTCAAATCACACCGTGATTGGTGAAGCCCAAACTCAGGTTATTCTGTGAGATAAGGACATAGTCTAATAAATTCATTTTTCTACTAAGCTGACTGAACTAGCGCTACCCATTTCAATACGAAAAGACACAAGCAACATATATTACTTCGCAAGCATCAAAGAAAGGCCTCCTACCTCCTGCCTTGTCTCAGCATCAGCATCCGACGGTGGGAAATGCACTCCTTTCTTCAGCAGGTCAAGGTACACTTCTTTCACTTCACTTACGTCCACGCCTCCTGGGAAGCCCTGCGACCAAGTCTAAATTCAAGAGGCAGACAGTTCCAGAGTGGAAAAAACTTAGTAAAAACCAATCCATCTTAAAGCTTATGATGCAAATGGGGGAATTGAAAATGATGAACTTTATCAGAGAGAAGAAGCTAGCTTTGAATCTCGTGGACATTTTCAAAGGCTAGAATATTATAAAGTGTTTTGAATCACCAGACTCCTGTCCTTCAATATCTTGGCGAACACTGGGATTGAGATGATCAATCATCTACTGCTGCCCTAAATCTAAAACTTAAACATTCTAAAATCCTATTAGTAGCTTTTTTGCCAAACAACCCTAGAACAGTTTCTATATCTGCAGAATGAAACTATACATGACTACCTTTCCAATGTAACATGGATATGATAAAAACTGAAAGGAAATAGGGAAATGACTACCAGTTCTTCAGCAGAAGAACACTGTCCAATGTCAAGAACTCTTACTCTACAGAAACTGCCTAGCATGCATGAAGCCCTGGTCTCAAGCCTCACGACTACATAAACTGGGTAGCTTGGAGGTGGAGCCAGGAATATCAGAAGTTCAAGATCATCCTTGGTTACATAGAGAGTTAGAGGCCAGCCTGGGCTAGAGAGAGAGAGACCATGTCAAAAGGAAGGAAGGAAGGAAGGAAGGAAGGAAGGAAGGAAGGAAGGAAGGAAGGAAGGAAGGAAGGAAAGAGAAGGGGGAGAGGGAGAGAGAGAGAGAGTGCAAGCTGGGTATTGGTTGCACATGCCTTTAATCCCAGCACTCTGGAGGCAGAGGTAGGTGGGTCTCTGTGAGTTCGAGGCCAACCTGGTCTACAGAGTAAGTTCCAGGACAGACTCCAAAGCAATACAGAGAAACCCTACCTCGAAAAACCAAAGAAGAAGAAGAAAGAAGAAAGAAGAAGAGGAGGAGGAGGAGGAGGAGGAGGAGGAGGAGGAGGAGGAGGAGGAGGAGGAGGAGAAGGAGGAGGGAGGGAGGGAGGGAGGGAGGGAGGGAGGGAGGGAGGGAGGGAGGGAGGGAGAGAGTGAGGATGGGATGAGAAAAGGAAGAAGAAAAAGTGCTTTATGTTTCAACCCTAGGTAACTAAAGGATCATTTGTATCATTAACTCTCTATACTTAGAAAGTTACCATCCCTTGATATAAACCAACAGACTTACCTTAATGAAATTCAAGATTTTGTTCTGAATGTCCAAGGACAAGGTGTATCTGGGATTCAGCAGCTTCACTAGAGTATCTTTAATGAACTCCTTCTTCACAATCAGAGACTGGAAACTGGGACCACAGTTCTGCATGCACATGTCAATCAACTGAATAAAAGAGCAAAGTCAGATGCTACAGCTCTCTAGAGAATCACTGCTTGAACTTAAGACCAAACAAATGCTACTAAAGGATGACTTCTGCTGGCTTTCTAATTAACAAACATCACTTGCTCCCTAGAAAACTAAACTATATAGTGAAATCTTAGCTTCAAATATTATGAGGAAGAAGGAGCCTAATGAAACTACCCAGAGCTAGAACTGATGAGGATTCAGCATACGAACAGAGCACTCAGCAGCACGTGGTAGCAGATGCCACGTGGTAAACGCAATGCCAAGCAAAACATACATGCTATGTATGCTAGATGATGTAACATTTGCTGCAGGTCATCTAGGGTCAGCCTGGTGCCTCCTGGTGTCCTGACTCTGTTAACAATGACACGCCCTTTCACTCTTAAATGTTCTGCTTTGGAAAAGAAATTGCAGTCGGTCTAGCAATAGATTTTTATAGGCAAGGGTAATTATTTAGAGTCAGGTGATTGGGCATTTTAGATAAAGCTGGTGCCAAGCTGGGCATTGAAAAATGACCAAGAAAAATAGAATTGAATATATAGCTATAGTCTAGATGGATGAATGCCACTATGGTTTGCATTTGGAATGCTCCACAGCCCCCCCCCCCCAGGGTTTAAGGCTTGCTATTTGTAGGATGTTCTGTCTTGTGATAGGGCTAGCCTCCAAGAGGATTATGGAACTATGATCTCTTTCTTTTTAACCTTCCAGCCATAAGGTGAGCGATTTTGCTCTGCCACAGATCTCTACCATGGCATGCTGCCTAGCCACAAGCCACCAGATCATGAATGTCTGAAACCACAAGCCACAATGAACCTTCTTTATAAGCTACCTTAGACAGATGATATAGAGATTCCTGGAAAGAAGACTAATGTAAATCATGCACAAAAAGTATAAAGGTATCACAGTATATGAATCGTCACAATGGGAGATTTGTACTCTGCTTTGTCTTTATAAGTGGCTTCTCGATGTAGGCAAATTGAGAACACTGGAAGGGTACCATGGATAAAGTCTGTGAGGGTATCATCTAGACTGCATAGATATCTGTCTGGCAGGATAGACTCTAGGAACCCTGAAGGGAATTTGTTAGTCAACATCATATATAAAAGGTTACTTTCTGGACAGGTACCAACAGTACTCTACATAGGAAAATTGAAAGGTGGAAAAACCTGGAGTGACAGGGTGATCTGAGAGGCACTCACCAGTATAGACCCACTATAGAAAAGGATGGAACTAGGATGGTGTGAGTTCACCAGAAAGAACGGATTATGAAGGAAGAACGTTGAACGTGTATTTACTGAAGCAAGAAGACTGAAAGCTAAGAGAACTTCACTCTGCCTGGTGCTGTGGGCACCTTTCATGGAAAGATGAGGGTGGGTGGGCTGATATGTCTGGGCACCCTAGGGGTAAAATTGGTGGGATAAAATTTGGATATTTTAGGTTTGAAAGGAGAAGCAAACATTCACATAGGCTTGGCAGAGAACCCTATATCTACAGCCGCAGGTCAGGAGAGTGAAGCACCACGAGGGAGTCATCAAGGCCACCAATGAAGAGCAAAGAGGAGGGATGCCTGAGACACTGGGTTGGAGAAATGCAAAGAAGGCAGTGAAAAAGCATCAGAAAAGATGGAAGGAAGGAAGGAAGGAAGGAAGGAAGGAAGGAAGGAAGGAAGGAAGGAAGGAAGGAAGGAAGGAAATGTTGGCAAAGTCAAAAACAGCTTCCAACAGGAAAGAGTGTCAATAGTTACCAAAATGGACAGACAATTGAAACATGTTCACTGATTAGTGGGGGCATTTGACACTTTGAATAAAACAACACAAGGCATAAACAGAGCTAATAAAGAATGAGCTGGGGATGGAAAAACTTCATGCAGAAAGCCGATTTCTAAAAATGATCTAAAGGTGCCACTTTTAGTCTAGGAGACCAAAGAAACTATGCCTCGACCAGGAAACTGTCATCAGAAAAGCAGTCCTGGCACCTGACTTCCCAACACGTGCCGCATGTTGAGTGTTGCTTTCATATAATACAAAAAGGGACAGCAGGTACAAAAGCTACACTTTTAAAGCGATGAGACCATGGGAGCAATCAAAAAATGTTGAAGCTGTGCACACGAAGCTACTGAAATACAAAAAGCAAAGGGAGAGAGAAGCAGAGCCCACCCCTAAGTGAGATGACGGTGTTCTGGTGTGAGCTGGCCAGACAGGCCTGGAAAGGCAGAGCAGAAATGATGCCGAGCTTGGCCAGCTATTAGAAACGTGCATTCTAATGAGCAGGGTGCTGAAGACACATACCTCTATTCAATGAGAGTTTACAGAAATACTTACCCAACTGCTTGTGCAGTTTTGGATAAGTTATGTAGCTTCCATGTCTCCCTTTCACTTACAGTAAAGTAAAATGATGAATTTCTAGCTAATTGTTGCCCAAACCAATTTTATCTCTGACACATGAATACGTTATGATAATAACACTCCTAGAAGGTACATGCACAAAACCAGAGCCAACACACAGTTCTTTGAGTGCTAATATCAGGAGATAAGCAATAGTGCCCTTTGTGGTTTCCTGCTGGAATCAAGAATGTCAGAGCTCATTATTTCTATATCGTTTCCTCCATTATGTCTCCTGTCCTCACCCCCCAGCTCACTCGGATTCTAAAACATACTGTGGTAAATGAGCAAACTTAAATGAGTTGCTTAACATATTTTGCTATCTAGCTCTGGTGAAAATGTCCTCAGATAACCTATCTTTGGAAACAGGGTAAGTAGAAATCCATAATCTGAAGCAGGAGAGAACTGTAGGAACCAAGCAACCAAGAAAAAAGCAGAAGTGAATGACTCAAAGCTTTCCCGATCTATTTTTGTGCTTAGTTGAGCAAATCACTTATGTGAATTGGTAGCGACCCTGTCTGCATAATGGGTATTGTGCCTCTTTCTAGGAGCTTGCTGGATGAAATGTGACACACTCTGAGAGCAGGACCTCAGTAAATGGTAACCACTGAGCCCATCTGTATCTTCGGAGAATGTTCTAGCATGACAGAATGCGCTCATCAGCAGAAATGAAAAGTCTTCACAGAGAGCTGGAAGAAAAAGTGCTGTTGTGCAGTTTTGCTTCTCATCACCGGTATCTAAACCAGGTACAGTGACAATACTGGACTTCAGGTCCATCAGAGCTATATTTGGACCACCGTCAGTGATTACATCAAGACAGGGCTACTCTATCATACTAGCCACATCTTGGAGATGCTATATTCTCACCCTTTCTCATGCGATACACTACTAGATGGACCCTCACCTTTTCATGTCTCCTGAAATCGCTATATCTCATTATTAGTGCACATTCCATAAAGGACTATTACATTCATTGACTCTCAGGAACTTGTTCGACCACTTTGTATTTGACAATGACAGCAGTATTTGCTGAGGTTAGTCACAATTGATTCATTCTAGAAAAGGCTCGATAGCATACAGCAAGCAGGCTTAGCACCAACACTGAATGAAAGACAAAGCAAAGCATTGACTCCTTGGGCTGGCAGTGTTTCTCAGTGGTTACGGCCCCTGTCTTGAATGCACAAGGGCACGGAGTCTATCCAAAGCACTGCAGTAGAAAAACACAAAAGCTACCAGCCTCTTGCTAAAAGTATGCCACTGATTGTTGGTAGAAAATCATAGTGTCATCAGATTATGTCAAAGACTCAACCAAGGGTAACAAGTCCATGGAGGACTCAAAATGACAGACAGTATTAAAAACATTCATAACTGATGTAGGTTCTCATCACTTCACAGAAATAAAATGGAAAGTTTACATATGGGATGACTTTTTAAATAGTCTATATATTGGGCAATTCCTTCTGTGACTAATTTCTCTCATAATTCAATTTAACCTAAGAGAATAGTGAACCCAGTGCACAGGCCTAGAGAAGGCTATGAAAAGCATAAGTAAGATGAGGTGAGACACATGGGTCATTATGTGAACAACAAAAGGAAATCTACATGCAGCTATGAAGAGTCAAAACTCATTTGGGGAAAAATTTTTTTAAAAAAGTTTCTTCCTCTCTCATGGCTCCTTTTCTATGTTCATGCCCCCCACACACACACACATGGAAGAGAGGGAAAAAGAGAGAGAGGGGGACAGAGAGAGACAGAGACAGACAGAGAGACAGAGAGACTTAAGAGAAAATTTGTTATTTATCTCTCAGGTCTGGCTTATTTTGTTCAACCCAATATATCTTATTGGAATGGAGAAAGGGGGAAAGGGGGACAATGGAATACATGTGACATAAAATAAGGGGAGCTACTGGGTGGAGAAAGGGTCTATCTATCAAGAGGGGAATGATGAAGGAGGAGCAGAGAAAGAGAGGAAAGAATAAGAATAATGTTTAGTGACATATATGTATTAAAATGGCATAAGGAAACCCATTGCTTTGTATGCCTAATTCAAAAACTAAGTAAGACAGTCTGGAGGAATGGCTTAGCGCTTAAGAGCACTTGGTGCTTTTTCCAGGACTCAAGTTCAGTTCCCAGTACTCATATCAAGCAGCTCACAAGTACCTGTAAGTCTACCTCCAGGGACCTAACACTTGCAACCACGTGGTATATACTCATACAGACACATACACACAAATAAAAATAATTTTTAAAATAAATTAAGGAAAAGTAAGAGACTTCAAGGAAAAGCAGGCATCTTCCTTGACCTTAATAAACTTGGATGGTAACAATGAAGTTGCATTCTAACCCCTAACACTTGACTTTCATCTTATTGTAAGCATGGGCTTTATTTAGACTCTCTGGTTTGCATATGCTGGTTAGGGGAATCACAAGGCAGATTAGTCATTGTTGAAATGGGACATAATAAAAAAGAAGCAGTTAGCCAGTAAGGCTTGGAAGGCTAGACTAACAGAAAGGGAGTCTGGGCGCCCCAAGAGAAATGGAAGATCCATGGGACAACGTTCTACAGAACCCATCCTCCTCCTCTGAGAAGGCTCTGTCCATTCCAAGTGAAGATGGATGACACAGACTTGGAGACATACAACCACTGAGACATCATGGAGGCTGCACACAGCGCTAACAGAGGCAAACCACTAAAGAGGGACGACTGTACGATGGCAGAGTGATAACCATATGGCAATGTAGAAGGTGGGTATACATTCATCCCCCTGCGTTATCTTTCTCATTCAGTTCTCTTAGCCCTGGCACTCCTGATATAGACTCTGCTTCAGTGCTCTATTTTAGATATTTCATTTTAGTGCTGTCTATACTCCTTTTTACACAGGTAAAAACACCTTCATTTAGACCCAAGTCTTCCTGAACAAGTTCCTGAGAGTCAATGAATGTAATAGTCCTTTATGGAATGTGCACTAATAATGAGTTGTAGCGATTTCAGGAGACATGAAAAGATGAGTGTCCATCCAGTGGTGTATCGCATGAGAAAGGGTAAGAATATAGCTTTCTCCTAGATGTGGAAGTCTAATTGAATAGTACAAGAAATGGGATGAAGTTTGGGGAAGGGGATGTAGGGGACCTAAATCAACTCTTCTATGCTGCATACACTGATGTGTCTGACTCTGTAGTGTGCATGCAGGAAGGTGTTGAAGACACAAAGGAAATACATGAGAGACCTGCTTCATTCTGAGAAGAAAAGTGGTATGGAGGAAAGGGCTTGGAATTTAGAATCTTAGGAATGGGTTCAAATTTCACGCATGCTACCAATAGCAAGTTAATCTTAACCCACTGAACATCCTTTGTTTCATTATCTGCACAATCGAACTGATAAGACAATCACTTCCACTGGTGATAAGAGCATCAATCATGTACCAGGCATTTCTACAGAAGCATTTTACTCCCTTTTCAATACTTCCCATCAGTCTTTGGTCTTCCTGAGCAGGCTGCTATGAGTTACAGACAGAGAAGAGCCCCAAATCCAGGAAGGAGGAAAATGCCTCTAAAACTACAGTCAGGCCGGGCGTTGGTGGCGCACGCCTTTAATCCCAGCACTCGGAAGGCAGAGGCAGGCGGATCTCTGTGAGTTCGAGGCCAGCCTGGTCTACAAAGTGGGTTCCAGGACAGCCTCCAAAGCTACAGAGAAACCCTGTCTCAAAAAACCACAAAAAAAAAAAAAAAACTATAGTCAGACCACAAATGAAGAGTTTGTTCTGTATTTGTAGCATGAATATTCTTCATTGATTTCTTTTCATTCTGTTGGTCTCCAAGTATTCACACAGGATGTATTCCTGTGTGAACCTACAAAGTAGGAATTATACCCATATCTGCCTCATAGCCTCCTGGTAAACACTGCCATTACTCCAAAAACAGTGTGATGCTGGCCATACCTATGTGTGGTCTAACTTCCAGAAGAAACGAGGAAGGCATATGGCTCATTTCCAAAGAAAAAAGGGCAACTCACCAATGAGACTGAAGAGGCATGTGGTCAAATACGGGGGAAAAGGGACTATTTCAATAGGAGCTCACATCTGTATCACAGAAGAAACTACACAGCAGAGCTGCATCGAGTATAAGAGAATGTTCTACAAATTACACCATCAGAAGAATCTGCTTGCAACTTAAGGCGCTGGCTGCCAGTGCCTCGGTTTTCTACAATAGTGCTGGGGGGAGCAGAAAGCTGTCAAGGGGCCGTCTTTCACAACTTCAATTTTCTCCTTCTTCAAACACGGCCAAGAAATTCAAATACACACTTACTGATCCATTTATCATCTACTGGTTTTTTAACCACAAGTTCCAAGATCTTGATAGGGAAAAACTGATTCTGTGGGAATGTTGTCTTTCTACAAAATTAGATGGCACTGTAGTCAACTGAACTCCCTTCTGCAGTTCTCAATAGATGAGGAATCTCAACTCCCACAGTCTAGAACGCATTACTACCCAGTGTCATCTCTTAGACTACAACTGTAGCTTTCAACGCACGAAAAATGATAATTCTAGGCAAGGAAACCCCACAATCTTAACAGCATTAAAAGTACTTACTGACAAGGAAAGTTGTATTTCTTTGTGGTTGTAGTTTTTGGAAATTCTTTTCTTCAAAGCTTTTACTGCATCTTTTGGCCTATGGTAATAAATACACTGAAATAATTAATCTGAAGTAGAAGTGGTCTCCCTGAAAGCAGTGTGCAATATGGAAATAGGAGTGGCTTACGAATAAAGACTGATGTGTGATTCGGCTATCACCTTAGGTGGGCCACTTAACTTACCACATCTTTGTTTCCTTGTGAAACAGATAGATCGCACCCCCACTCCCCCGTAAGACACAACTAAGATGTTTATATAAGTATATTTATTACACAGACAACACTGGTCAGGAAACGTGTACGCACCAGCTTCTCTCAAGGCTCAAAATCGGGTTACAAGAAATGTAACCCCCAAAAACAGCAAAAGAAAAGTGATCCGTTTAAGATTCTCAGCATTTCCTGAGTATCCTATTGATAAGGGGATATAGGAATTACAGCAGCTTGCTAATTCTGACATGCTAAAACTTTGTTAGTAAGATCTACAAGCAGAGAGTCAAGACTCATTTTATTAGATTTCTCTTTTGCATGACCAATGAGGAAATCGATAAAGGTAATAAAAAGGTTCACTGAGGATCTAAACACAACGCAGGGTAGATGACATCATAAATGCGGATCTGGGGAGACGCTGAGTGGGCAAAGCGCTTGCTGTGCAAAGCTTGAGGACCTGAGTCAGGACCCCCAGACCCAGGTAAATTTCTGGTGGGTGGATTACAGCCTGTCTGTCATTCTAACGCTTGCTTAGAAGGTAGAGAGGGACTCCTAAGGTAAGTTGGCTAGTTGACTAGCCTTACTGAAGAGCTTTGGATTCAACTGAGAAACTCTGATTCAATAGATAAGGAGAGCAACTGACGAAGATCCTTGATATTAACTTCCGGCCTCCACACTTCAGTGTGCTCACACACATGTGAACACGCATGCTCCATGCATACCACATACAGAGACATAAAAAAAAAACCTGTAAAGTCTTATAAATGTCAATCATAGGCCCTTGCCTTTAATATATAACCAATAATTATGCTACCATGTTTTCTTCATCGGCACATACTAGACTAAATCTTTTTCTGTCAATTGTCCCTTAAAAATGTCCAGGGAAATGAGCAAGTTTCACCTTTTATCATAACCTAGAGTTGACTGAATTCAAAGTAGCAGTCTTTGTCAAAGATTTTTCTCTCTCTTTTTTTTTCCTTTTTAATGACTTCAAGTTTAGACAGCGTATCAACACACTGCACATCTTGTAAGAGTACAGCATGAACATGGATGAGCTGGCATGATGAAAGATAAGCACTGTTCCCTGACAAGGAAAGAAAAACTGTTCAATTGTTTCCTGAATCATCAAGAGGCTTGGTCGCCATCGGCCTGGACACCACCAGAAGCTATCCAGCTTCCAGCCTCTGGATCACACTTTTGTTACATAAAACACTGGCAATCAGAGCGTAAGAAAGCTCTAAAAAAAAAAAAAAGCAATTTATCTGTCTCTTAAAAAAAACTTTTTAAAAGGAGGAATTGGAGCAAGACAAAGACAAAATATAAACTAGTGAAGAAAAAGCAAAGGAAGGGACAACTCTAATGACCTCTTGGGAGCTTGCACGCTGGAGCAAGGATTTGTCCCCACTTTCACAAGAGGCGCCTAAGGGACAGTAAAACATTCTTTCAATGAAACACTCAAAAACCTGACAAGGGAAACACTCAAAACTTGATAAGGGAAACACTCAGCTGCATATCTGATGTATCTTAACAGGACACAAATTCACAGACACTACCTTGAACTTACCCGTCCTGTGTGGTGTTAATTATGTCACAGATATGCATGAACTGGCCCCAGTCTTCAGTCTGCACTCCAGCAAATGTAGCCTTTTCTACAAAGACAAAGTTGTTTGTGTTGAGCCTGAGTCACAACAGAATAAAAAATATCTTGTCTCCTTGAAATATCCTGCCTGGTGCACTAACAAGTACCATTAAGTCTATGCTACCAAAGGATAAAGTGATTTTTCCACCTCCTAAACAATTCCCAGTAATTCAGGAATCAATCAGAAGTCAAGTTCAGAGGGCTGCTGTTGCAACAGTAATAAGTGAAGCATTAAGAAAGCCTACAACAGCTGGCCACAGGGCCCAAATAGACCAGTTAAATATCCATCCTCTGGGCTCATGCAGAAGAGACAAACTTCAAATCTGTGGCAGACTGGGTAGTCATGGGCAAGGTGGTCTACACATCGAAGAGACTCTAGCCAATGGGAGCTTGGCATACATGGCTCTGGCAGGCCTTACCCTTCTCTCCCATTCCCTGTCTTGCTAAAAAACCATTAGATTACATTCCTAAAGCTAGCCACCAAGGTCTATTCCTTTATTTGACCACTTCCTCCTCCCCAGGCTGACTACCAAGGTCTCACTATCAAAGTTTAAAGGCTAGCAATCAGAAGCCTCCTTTTGCCTAATTAACATGTCCAATCAAAATTAAACACCTCATGGTAATACAGGGTTTCGCCTTTTAACTTTACAAACTGCCATTGTCCTACTGGCCACATCTGTCTCCTCTCTATCCAGAGGCAGTCCTTTGTCCTTCCAGGATAAACACCCTTTCTCTCCTCTTCCTCATTCCCTTCCCCTATCTCCTGTGCTTGTCTCTCATCCCCTGCCCAGTGTCCCTCCGGGCAAATAAATCTCCTCGGTGCTGGGAACTTGGTCTTGGAGGTCCTGAGCTGATTCTTCTCCTTTCACACATCACTAAGTCTTTTCTGGTTTAACCCACAGTTACAGACAAAGAAAGAATTTCAGCAAGAGTAAAGAAATTACTCAAGGTTACACATGAAATAGAACTTGCATTCAAACAGGCTTCTTTGATTTCACTGTAAGTATTTTTAAAATATGTATTTGGTGGGGAGATGAGAAAAAAAGGAAGAGACAGCACAATAACCAAGCAAGACGGCTTCTGGCATCAAAGTTATGCCAAGCAGGTTTACACACTTACACCCTTGACATTCCCTTCTCTAGACAGACTCTTTGAGAACACAGAACAGGGGTCAGAGAACCTCTAAAGCAGTGGTTCTCAACCTTCCTAAAGCTGCGACCCTTTAACCCAGTTCTTCATGTTGTGGTGACCCCCAACCATAAAATCATTTTCATTACTACTTCATAACTGTCATTTTGCTTCTGTTATGAATCAAAATACAAATATCTGTGTTTCCCAATGGTCTTTGGTGACCCTGTGGAAGGGCCACTGGAAGCCCAAAGGGGTCGTGGCCCATAGGCTGAGAACTACCGCTCTACTGTCAGCATGTTTGCTGGCTTCTATGACAAAGATTCCCCAAGCACGGTGCAAACCACAGCGTGACACTTGAATCTGGCTCTGAATGGACCAAGCTGAGCAACCTTGCCTGTGTTGTTGGGTACACATTATTCTTCAGCCTGCCAGATACTTCTTCCTCCTCCCTCCCAACCTGCTCATGCCTAGAGAACTCCTAGTCACCCTTCAAAGGCCATGGCTGAATTCATTTCTTCCTTTTCATAAGTTTTGCATGCCGTAAGTGTTTTCTAGTATTGCCAAGGTTCTTACAGTGGTTACTACAGAATATGCCCATCTTCCTCATAAGCAAGGGCATTCCCTGAAGGTTGAAACTATGCCTTCCCAAAGGATAATTTGACATATTCCTGGGGTTTCTTTTGCTTATTAAGATTTGTGAGGTTCTATTTCTTCCCGCGGCTCTTTCTAATATGCACTATCAAGCAAGGAGATAGGCAAGGAAGAAAGTGTTCTCCTTCAAGGGCAGCGCTCTTCCTGTATTTTGAAGATGTGGAAACAATAAGTTCAAAGGTGTTCCCTGTCCCTAAAGCAGTTAACTTATCCTCAGCCTAAACATTCTGAATCTAAGCCCTGTGCAACCAGGTTCTTAGGGTTTCATCACCCCATTTAGTTCCAGACAGTTTGTCATTAATACACCCTGGTGCCACACCCTGTCCTCGAGGGAGGGGTCGGGAGAAAGATGGAGCTGCGGTGGCAAAAAGCCAAGTGTAGTCAGGGACTTCTGAGTCCACCCCTGTAGTTCAGAACGCAAGGAGAAAAGAGGCCAATGCTGGGTCCCTGGAGGGCGACGCTTGCGGGCTTCTGTGACTCGAGGATGGCCCCTCTCCCCGTCCTCAGCACCAACAAAACAACAAGCACTTTCAATCTCGGAGTTTAAGCAAAAGGTCACTCAGATCGCTTGAACTGTGAGCTGGAGAAAATTGGTTCGGAGAAACCTGCCTCTCCAGGTGAGGTAACGCTAATTTACTTCTCTGAGCCTTCGCCTCCTCGTCTGTAAAATGGGTACAACAATAAAGTGATGGGAGTGGATACACTTTATGAAGAACCTTCCCCGGGTCAAGAAGTTTTCACTCTCTCCTCCCAGCGGTCCCAGCACTCCACACAGTGCTGCTGGTCACCTGCTTGGCTCCACTCGCCCAGCTGACAACCAAAGCTAGATTTTGCATTTTTTTCCCCAGAAAGGTTCTGGTATAAGTGAGCCAAGAAAGAAAGGCGGACAGCTGCCGCAGGTGGCACACAGGTGGCGTGGGAAAGCTGCGGGGGAGGGTAGCATTCCTTCCAACTTGGTCCAAGTCGGCCCCTCCAACAGTCGAGAATGGAGTCGAGCGGGCAAAGCTCTCACGGGGTCCCCAAAGCCAGCCGGAATGTTACTCCCCGCGCTTCCTTACCTATGAGGTGACCCACGGAGGTAGCGTAGGGATCGCGGTGACTCTTCCCAAACGCCATGGTAGCTCCAGAGAACCCTCCCAGGAAATCCGCCTCCACCGCTCTCCGACTGGCGACTCCACCCGCTCGGTGCCCGAGGCTCCTCCTCTCCGCTCCAGCGCTTCGCGGCCGCTGCGAGGCGCCCGCCAGGCAGTGCGCCGGGCGGGGAGCCGGGGGACTTGGCGCACCTGCCGCGCGCGCGCCTGGCGCTTCCCACTCCGCGTGACCCTAGGTGGGCTGGGAGCCCGGGTTGGAACCCTGTGGCCCTGCACCCCAAGCCTTGGAACTCAGAGCCCAGCTCCAATGTCTCCATTTGAGGGCTGAAGACCGCTCCTCTCCCTTTGGAGCCTAGGCAGTGCGGGGTTGGTTGCAAACACAGAGCAGAGGGATTTTGCTAAGGTTAATGGAAGGAAGGACGTAGACCTCTCTGGCCACTGTCACACACACCACACGCAGGACAATGGGATTTCGCCTATTCCCATTCCCACACAGAGATCTCAGAACCGAGTTTTGCGCCCTTCCCTTTAAATCTACGGAACTGGGAGGAGGATGGGCTGATTAGGAGAGAGAGACAGCCTCCCGGGAGCCCGGCCTTTGTTTCTCTCCAGTTTCCAAGAGGGACCACAGGGCGCCGCCACGCAAGCTCTTGGCTTCTAACTCCATCTCCTAGGAGCCCTGCTTTCCAGCCTACTAGTGAAAGGAGAGTGGGGCTTTCCTGGGGCCCTGGCAGGAAATATGTTTGGAATGTAAATCCTCATTAAGAAACCAAACCCCTTTGTAGCTTCTCTATTGAAACCAAGGTTTCTTTTTTCCTTTAACTCAGCCTACATCCAATAAACCAGTCTGCCATCTGTAGGATGTCCCCTGAGAGGCCAGGCTACTCTGCTGGTGGTAATCTTTTGCTTCCTGTGGCTAACTGGAACTCAGCTCCACATACATAGTGGGTTTATCCCCCCCCCGCCCCGGAAATGGTGTCTACGAAGAGCAAGAGGACCTGGCCTGACTCATGTTTTAGTCTTACCTCATTTTAGTATAGATACCCAACCATTTATATTGTTCCCCAAGTGACTAACGTCTATTATATTGATCTTGAATCTTCTCCCTCCTTCTCTTCCTCCTCCTGAGTGAGTTAACACCGATATCATACAATCTAAAACACAGCATTTTTGTTGCGATGATATTTCTCATTATGAGGTTGTTCTTAACGGAAACTGGAAGTGTTTATCAGGCCCACTAGCTGTTTCGTGTGGTGCCATGTATCTCCTCCCTTAGTCAAATTGTCATTACAGCTGATGCTGAAAACCTCTTTTGGTGATGTCAACCTGCTCTCTGTTTCGCGTTATAGTCTCTGACAAATCATTTGCCTTCACTGCAGCGTGCACTGGGGTAACGTTAAGGAGAAAGTCAAGTTCAGCACTAGCTCAAGTGCTGATGACCCTCTTTGGGGAACAAGAAGTAGGAAGGAACCGAGTATCCCCATAGATCTTTTACCCCCTACTTCTACTGGGAGGGAGGTTAGACTTCTTGCTACCCTCTGTCTGATTTCCTTACGTGGCAAGATTGAGAGAGAACGGAAGAAGAGTTGTGAGGAGTGTACCCTGGACACAGTGGCTGACGAGCACTGAAAGGTTCAGGCATTACTCTGGCCTGCCCTGCTACCTGGCAGGATTCACTCAGGCAGTTCTCTGGCCAGCCCAGAGTTCCATGAGAACCAGTCTGTACCAGGTGCAAAGGACCCCTTTAAAGGACAGACCCCTGCCCACTTATGCCCTCTTTCTCATCTTATCTCTTACTCCCCTTACCTTACTCTCTCTCTCATGTCTGTCTCCCCCCTTTCAGTCTCGCTATAATAAACTATAGTTAACGTGCTCATGGCTTGTGCTCCATCCATCACGCTGGTCCTGGTTCCGAAGCGTGCTCGTGTTACTCCCTCCGCCCCCTTCTACTCTCTAATTTCTAACTTTAAACTAGTTAACAATAAGTACCCCTGGTGTTCTCCCCCCCCCCCCATGCCTGCAGGGACACTGCCCCGCCTCCCCAGGATGTTGTCATGGCTGTAACTGTTGTCACTTTCTCCATGATTCCACCCTTTCCCAGAAGTGTCAACCCAGTCAGTGTTACTGTGGTCTAGGAGAAGGACATTAGAAGTCACAGTCAAGTGGAGGTCGGAAGAGAAGCATCATTCTAGACAAAAATAAGGATTAAATATCTAGATACCACTGGCCTGGAGAAGTGGCTCAGGGGTTAAGAGCGCTGGTTGCTCCTCTAAAGAACCAGATTTTGCATCCCAGCACCCAACTGGCAACTCACAGCTACAGGTAACTCAAGTTCCAGTGGATCTGACACTCTCTTCGGGCCTGCATGGGCACCAGGTACTCACATGTACACTGACACATAGCACACTGACATACACGCAGGCAAAATACTCATGCACATAGAGTAAAATACAGTTTAAATAAGTGACTAAATAGATACCTACCAGGAGCCCAAACTTTGCTAAGAACTCTTCCAAAGCGGTTTGTGTGCGTGTGCGTGTGTGCGCATGTGTGTGTGTGTGTGTGTGTATGTATGTATGATGTATGTGTGCGGGTGTGCAGGCACATAAGTACTGTGTGTGTGTCTGTTGGTCAGAGGACAACCTCAGAGTTTTGCTGTTGTTGTTGTCCTTGTCTGAAGCTTCCTTCCATAGGACAGGCCAGCTGCACTTCCAGGAAGTTTTGTCTCTACTTCCCACCTCACTATAGGATCTCCAGGATTGTCAATGCACACTACTGCTCTCAGCCTTTCACGGCTTTTGGAGATTCAAACTCAAGTCCTCACTTGTAGCAGCAAAAGCTTGCAAGCACACCCATGAAGCCTTCTCTCCAATGCTGCTAACCATTTAAGTGTGTGTGCATCATGATGCTAGGTAAAAATGAGTGAGATACCACTTTTCAAAATGTGCTTAATGCCTACAACTGGAAACCTTTCATTACTGTGGTAAGGGAAGTAGCATAAATTTCATTTTTATAAATAAGCCGAGATTCTGAAAGCTAGAGCTGTTAAATGGCTTGGCTACATTTTGAGCCATGGTTGTCTGATTCTGGAGCTTATATTACTGCCAATATTTGAAGCTGACGACTGAGTGTGGCATTTTACTTGTTAAAGGATTCTGTTTGATTCAAAGTGAGACCTTGACAAATGAGGCCGTCTATTGGCACAGAGTTCTGCTTTTTTTTTCTGTGTTTGCTCAATAATGCTAGTGTGATTTTGCTAGTACCATAAATTAGATGTGTTCTCTATTCATTACATGATTAATCCCATAGTAGGTATGAAACAAGATTTTACAGACTAAAACAATTAATGCAGATAATTTTCCACACAGTCACACTGCTAGTGTGACTCCAGATTCTGTGACTTTAACTACTGTGCTACACCACCTTTTCATGGTCCAGAATTGTAGGCAATGCACTTAAATAGCACAAACATTGAAAAACGTAGGTTCTTGGGGAAGGTGCTTGCAGAATGTGGAAACCAGAGGTGGTAAATGAGTATATATGTCAAATGAAAGCTGCTATATCCCAGTGAATTCCATCAGTGATTCTGTTTCTCACTAATGAAAATTTTAGGTTATCAGAAATAGATATAGCTTTGGTAGTCACGTAGTCTCTGTTACCAGCATTTTAGAGTGACAGCCAATGAAAATGAGTGACTGGCCCAAGGCTATCCAACTCCAGACTAGGATGACACATCATAGATTAAGGATAAAATGCCCACTGCTTTTTTGTGTGTTCCTTGATTTGACATTTAAGTGTGAGCCTCCACCCCCTCTATAGTAGCTTCTGTAGCTTTCTCTTTACTCTTTCCCATTTGGATGTGTTCAGTTCCAAACGTTACCCACCCCTTCCCAAATATGGAAACTGCCTTCTGTAGCCATGTGAGAAGCAGCTCTAGCAGCCAGGCTTAACGTTTGTCCCTATCTCTACCTTCTGTCCTCCAGGGTCCAGCTCCTCCTTCCCAACTTTCTTTTTCTTTGCTGCTTCCCAGTGATCTTTCACCTGGTTCCATTTCCCTCTCTGCTGTGCTAAGCCACAGCCTTTGCTTCCTCTTTCTCTGGGTCTCTCCACCATTTTCTCCTTTTCTGTTCTTTAGCGGGGAGCCTTTTCTGATCACCCCCTCGAGACCCAAGCCTTTCTTTCCTGCCCTAAGCGTGTTTCTTCTTTAGAACCTCCAACAGTTTATGCTAGCTGATTGTTCAGAAATGTGTTGCCTGCCTGCCTTCTAAATAAGCGTCTCTCTGGGGAATAAGACCATGTTTGCTGGGTTGTGTATCCAGTCACTCAAGAAACTTGAAGAGATGCATATTGAACGCATGAACACCCCTTCAAAATCGTAAGCAGCTCTGCTCTTCCTTATATCCAGTCCCTTCTCTGTCCCTCACCACACACACACACACACACACACACACACACACACACACACACACACCCTGGATGGCTTGGAAACTGAACTCAGTGAGACTAGAATTGTGCTTAACCCTTTCCTCCACCATCTCTAGCTGACTGACTGTCTTGTTTTGACTGCACCAGTTATTCTCAAATTCAGTGCACTGACTGTTGCTGCATGGGGGCCACTCCCAGACTTCTGCATTTAACTTGTCTTTATAAAGGGCATCAAGATATTTAAGGGTCCTCAGCTGACACCACAATTTCCCAAATTGGAAATCTTGGCACTCTCTCTCACTTTCGTTTAGTCAGCTCTGGGTTTCTCTGTGTTTTATGCCACCTCACTTTCTGTCTGTTTGTTTTTCCCCCTGGGCCATTCTCTTCACTCCAGTAGTTCTTTGACATCACAAGTCTGTTCATGGATAAAATTAAGGCTGAGTTTTCGTGAACCCAACCAGGTGCTCATGAATCTAATGGCATATTGTTTCTCCTCAATAGTAATGTTTTTGTTTGTTTGTTTGCTTGTTTGGGTTTTTTTTTTTTTGCACAATAAATCTTGGCCACTAATTTTGAAACCCATATGTATGCTTTGTTTTCCTGTGATTTTTAACAATGCTATAATTTTCTAATTCCTGATTGTGAAAAATGAAGTTGAAAGAAAAACTTTTCTACTTTCTTCT